CGTAGCACATCATATCAATTATAATTATCTACTTACAAATAGTGTAGTGCAGTATATCTATACATCCATACAATAAATCTATACTTCACCAAGATTTTGATACCTGGTAAAGTACTATCATTTATAGAAAACAGCGCTCGTGATATCCTTGGTCACTGCCTATACCGACTAACATACCTGTCTTTTCTGACTTGTAAAAGAACTTTTTGGGATTCCTAAGCATTGAAATTAGGAGTTGCAGACCTATCAACACTCCCAAAATGATAGCAACAATGATGTACAGTACTAGTTGTAGAATCCGAAGTAACATGATGGATAAAGCAGCGTAAGATGATCCTATAAGTTGTAAGGGTATCAAAATAGAAGGAAGATTGATGATGATCAGCGTCGATTATAATTAGATGAAGCTTGCAAAAGTCATTAATTAATTATCTAAGTTGCGATACTTGGTATCAACAAGAATAATCAATGCGTCAAGTCAGAGTTGATATTTGCTAGATAGCAAGCTTAAAATTGGATTAAGTAAAGTAAATGAATTTCTCCAGCCTAGTGATATCTCTACCTCTGGAACGATCCAATTCAATGTAATGGCGTCAATATTAGGTAGAACTCGCTAACTTCTTGTCGATTGTCCTATTATTGCATGCGTACTCTCATTAATAATGGATTGTAACTAGTGTACAGTACAACTGTACGGCAATAAGTCAATAAATAACGTCACGATTGGCTGCTAGGTTGCGTACAAAACTCTATCAGGCGTATAGGACACAAGTGAAAGATAGCTACTAAGAGTGCGGAATGCTTAGCAAAGTAGACAATATGATCGCTCAACAGCATGATCGATATCCAAAAGGTCATAAATCACGTTTAACCTTATAAAGGTCATAGCAGTGCTATAGCACAATAGCAAGGCATTACTACTGCACTCTACAGCTTCAATTAATTCTACTGTACAGTATGTAGCTAAAAGCTGTGGATTGTGGACTTGAATGTCAAGTCGATTGTAATAATAATCATATAGTAAAAGCATAGAGATATCAAAAAATACCTTTCCCAGTAAAACAGAGTTTATTTGCTTCAAATAGTCAGCGATATGAAGAGGAAATGACAGACGGTATCAACACTAACAAACCAATAATAAGCTAAGAAGAAAGATGGTCGATCTATATAGATCCAAAAGATCGACGAGTATATTAAGCTGGATTGTTTGCACCATAGAGGTCCAAAAAAAAAGGCATGCCTCTAACCGTGACTAAAGAGAGAACCTCCATACAGTAGGTTGTACCATGCAGCCGTATTTTAATTCATTTTGGATCGTTAGCACTTCTAGCTACAGTAGTATTTTAGGAATCTCAAAAGTCCATGCAGTTTTACTGACACTGTATTTTATGAAATAAACAGTCAGAATGCAATATACACTTCACTAGGGACTAAAATAGCTACAAAAGAGTTACTTTATTCTACGTAGTCAGTCCATAGATGCAAAATATTGTCACTTGGTTAGGTTGTATCTGCCCAATACTTTTATCCAGGCATAGCCTCTCCAACTCGTGCACAGTGTATGTGCACGAGTTGGAGAGGTTACACTTGACTCATGAGTCATGACTGTACTGTATGATACGCAGCTGTACTCCATGGTATCAGAATACTTTGGTCGTGGTGTTTTTAATAAGGTACTGATTATATGCTCAACGATAAAATATTCTCCGTGATAAGCTAGGTACTTACATAGTGACTTTTTTCTTAAACAGATTACGTTAGTAGCTGACAAGCAAAACAATAGGGATCGTTTAAGGCGTACTTAGTACTAGCATATGAAGGACAAACTTAATTCAGGAAGTGCACCGTCTTCTCCACAACAATGTTAATAACCTGTAACTATTTGTTAATATTTGAGTAAATATATGTTAAGTACAGATAGTGGATATTGAATAATCTGATCAAATGCATACTTTTGATATTGTTTATTGTAATTCGTTGTCAGTGACAATTTAAGAACTGGATTAGATTTTATAATACTGTAACTTTGACATATTATATAGTATATAATGAATTATTCAATCAACCTCATGCAATTACGATTGGTTTTATTAAATTGATCAATAAATAAATAAATCTATTCATACTAGAGGTACCGACTTGAAATCTTTAATTGCCAGGGTCCTTAAATCTTGAATTTGTGTTGTATAAGCTAAATTTCCTTGTTTTACGCTTACTGGTTTCTATATTAAGCAGGCTGCTCTTTTATTGAATTTTGTAATTAATTAACCACCTTAAGAAAAGTTATCCGCTGACATGCATGTTTATATTGCCCTTAGTAACTATTAAGAGTAAATTTAATGGGTGTCATTATAGTAAAGTAAGTCTAATCGCACTCTTTAAGGTTTAATATAGATGATTTGCTATCAAATACTGAGCAACAATAATATCTATTTGGGCTTTTAGAGATAGTGATTGTTGAATAAATAAAGTCAAGAATAACTAGACTCTCTTCTAGTAGTCCTTGCTAGGGTTGACCTTAACGCAAGTAAATATGAGCCATCACAAAGATGACGCTGTATTTGACGTTGTAGATGACGTATTTGAGAAACTTAATTAATCAAATGAACAAGCCAACATAAATGTGTAACGTTATTGTCACAAAATAGCTTCGTGACAAAGATAACGTAAAACAAATCTCTAAATTACTATAGTCTCCGGGATTCAGTATCCCTTAACTACCTCACAAGAATTTACTCGCCTTTGCTTCTACGTTAAAACAACTATATAACTCTTCTTTTATTCTACTGTCTGCCGAGCTTAAATACCCTTCGGCAGCAGCTATCATGTATGAGTCATAACAGTTCGTGAAATTTAGCTCATATTGGATAGCTAAATTAATACAGACATTATTCATAATTTTGGACATTTACTGAACGATTCTAGATAATTAGACTACAGTATGTCCACATACAGAATTATTTATGGTATCATCTATAATTGAATATCTTCAGGATATTCATCATTACAAGCGTTACAAGACATTACGCTATCATCAATTAATATAAGTTAACTTATGAGAACTCTTACTACAATACAACATAATTTACTGTAACAAAATAATAACTACCGTAGTTCTTACTGTAAGTCATTATTAGTTATCTCTATATGTAAATGTTTAACACTAAATTTAGTCATTTACTCTTCACGGTGATTCGTACCATGACAGTTATGTATTACCTTATCTGTTTATTTAATATGATTAATCTTCAATTTATTCTCATAGAGCTATAACATAACTGAGATTGTTAGACAAGGCACGAAAACTTGTATTCTATAGATTAGTTATTTATAGATAGGCTTCAAATCATTGCGTATTGGAAGTAAATTTATTTAATTTTTATGAACTAAAACTTGAAAAGGAATGACAATAGCTGTTTAAAGCAATTAATATAATTTATAAGGTCACACGACATAAGAATATTCTCGACAATAATATAGACAAAGAACAAAGATAAATGCGCTAATCCTTTCAAGTTTACGCACAGCAGCTATTCAATCTTGTATTACCTTAAGTCTAATGTGAAATAACCATCATTTCGATCAAATTTTTCGAGCTATTCTAATTGATGCCATATATGGGATGTAATAACTAACGACGAACATATGGCAGTATGCGAGAAATATAAAAACGTATAGACAATTTCACTGGTTTGCTACCTCAGTATCAAATAATCAATTACCAGACCGAAGTTACGATGCACCTGAACTACTAGTAACTAAATCAAGATTTTCTTTCCAGAAAAGTGCGCATCAGTTGATTAACTTGAGCTGGTTCATCCTGTTGAACCCAATGGCTAGCGGCAACACCCCTAGTGAATCAAAGAGTAATAGAAATAGAACGAATCAGCATGCTCATAATTTATATAATTAATGGCATGGTATCACCTCAATATCACCATTAACATTTAGTAGTAAGAGATACTAGTGTAATGAAACGTAACAGCAAGACCGAGAGAGATATCGCCTTGAACAATACCTGTAGGTCACATTTTCTACATATCGGCTGAGATTGTTATTCATTTCCTTTTCTAGAAATGGATCAGCTTCACCCTTTTATTTTAATCAATTCACTCATATCAATACAATATTACCAATCAGGCTAACTAATTCTGAAGTAGCTATAGCATAAAAATCGTAATATATCGAATATCAACCGTTACTTGATCTTACCCATATTACAAGTGTGGGTACTTTCAGTTTACCTTCAGGAGAAGGTTTTGGTGGATATAAAAGCTTAGCTCTGTAATAGTTGATTGCAGCAGTTAATCGTCCTGGTCGTGAGAAGTTATACTTATATGCCTCTATGTCCTCATCCGTCACGTTTGCTGTATTTTGCAACCCCGTGTAAAATTCATAAGAAATGGTATGCTTC